GCCGCGCAGGACACCAGAGGGGACCACAGGGCACGGGAGGGTGGTGGAGCTACGCGCAACGGCTGGTCCAGAGGTAGGATCAGCCAGAGCCACCGACACAGGTGTGAGGAGTGGCGTAAGGGTCGTGTGGTCGCGGAAGAAGCACTGAGACGCGCCCGAGTCCAGCGTGAACGACAGAGAGGCCTCAGCCGGAGGGTCACCAGACCCAGTCGCTACACAAGCACCTAGAGCAGCAACACAAGCACCTAAGCTAGACAGGCACAAGGCTACACTAGCAGGAGGCAAGCAGGCTAACCTACGAACACGCGAGCACACAGATCCATCAGCACTAAAGTCAGCATCAACATACAAAGCATGCTGACGCGCATCGTCCATGGACAGATCAAAGACATCAATCTTACGGGCTAACAGACGAGACCAGCGAGGCGTGACCGCCAGAGGGCCCCAACGAGCCCGGTAGAGGTCGTCGAGGCGGCGGAAGCACCGCGCGGCAGAGTGGTCGTCGCGACCACAGAGACAGCGGCTGCCCGGCCCGGTGACGCACCAGTGGGTGCAGGGGCCAGCGTCACGGCGAGGGGGGCGAGGGGCCCAGCTGGAAGAGCTGCTGCTGCGGCCGGTGCTCCCAGGGCCTCCCGGACCCCACTGCGGCGGGGGACCCCAGTGCTGCTGCGGACCCCACTGCAGCGGGGGCCCCCACTGCTGGAACTGCTGCGGTGCCTGCTGCTGCTGCTGTCCCAACTGCTGCTGCTGTCCCTGCTATGGCTGGTGCTGCTGTGGCTGCTGCTGCTGGGGGGCAACGCCCCCACCGGTCGGGCCACCACCTGTGGGTGGGCCTGTCTATCCTGCACCTCCTCCAAGGCCCCCTCCCCCTGGTGCACCGCCGCCGCCGCCACCGCCGCCTCCGCCACCACCGCCGCTCCCACCTCCACCGCCACCTCCACCACCGCCTCCACCGCCCCCACCTCCCCCCTTCCCGCCCTTCTTGCCACTCTTGCCCCGTTTCTGCCAGTCTGCGGCAGAAACGGCAGCAGTGTCCTCAGAGACCGACACAGCAGCAGAAGCGCGGGTAGCGGTGAAAGTGGGAAGCTGAGGGGCGGCACACCCCGCAAAGAGACGGGGGGCCACCGCATCAGTGGCGGAGGCAACGGTGAGGAGACTGCTCTCGATGGTCCCTAGAGCAGTCGCTAGGAGGTCGATAGTGAGCTCAGTGGGGTGCTTCTGAAGAAGCGCGTCGCGGGCAGTGGCAAGGCGGTCAGGGAGGCGGGTGACTAACCAGTGAACAGTGAGCCACATGGGGGGGGGAGCAACAAGAAGCTGTGCGTCGGTACAGGCAGCACGGAAACCGGCGTCAAGCGAGCGGAGGTGAGTCACTAGGTCAGAAACAGTCGCAAACGAGCCTAGGTCGGGAAACACAAACGGCATGAGGAGGCGACTGAGGGAGGCAGAGGAGGGGGTGGAGTAGCGAGCAACAATAGCCTCCCAAACCCCCTGTGCAGTCTCCACCTGGTCAAAGTGGGCGGCCTCAGTCGGGGGGAGAAGCTCCGACAGAGTGAGAGCAGCGGCTGCGTCACGCGAGAGCCACACGTCCCTGGCCAGGACCCGACGGTCGTAGTCCGCCTGGGCCGTAGGGGTCGGCTCCGGGGCGGTCGGCAGGGCGGCGGGGGACGGGGGGGCCTGTAGGGCACCACACGCGTGAGCCCACAGAGTGGCGCCGTCCTGCCGCTGGCTGGTGAGGAAGCGCGTGGTCTGGTGCTGCCAGGTGCTAAACTCTATCGGGCGTCCCTCCGCGTCGAAACGGAGGCGACGAGACTCCATGACTGGTGCCATGCTAGAGGCGGCTGGAGCTCGGCAGAGGCTGAGCTAAGAACGAGGAGGAAACCGACGGAGCTCCAGGAGGGAGAACGGCGGAGTGAGAGGCTAGGAGCACTGAGTGACCTAGGCTAGGCGTGAAACGGAGGATCTCCAGCTACAACGGCTAGGGGCGCGATACTAGCGGCTAAACGGCTCGAACCTAGGCGGGGCGGCGAGAGAGAGCGGCTGCCAGCCGCTAGGTGGTAGACCAGTGTCAGTAGAGCTGGGGAGGGCCCCGCGCACAAGGCGGTGGCGGGGCTAGGGCGCGTGCCAAGGGTGGGTAACAGGAAGAGAGGGGCGGGGGGGAGTTTGCGACGGTGGAAATGGGCGGGGAGGGCGGTTTTGACGGTGGGAATGGGCGGGTAGGGCGGTTTTGACGGTGGGAATGGGCGGGAGGGCGGTTTTGACGGTGGGAATGGGCGGGAGGGCGGTTTTGACGGTGGGAATGGGCGGGGAGGGCGGTTTGACGGTGGGAATACGGGCTAGGTCGAAGGCTGGGGCGACGGGCTAGGGTGTACGGGCCACGCGTGGGCAACGGGCAGGGCGCACGGGCGCCGCGACGGGCTGGGGCAGAGCCTACGGGCGTCGCGACGGGCTGGGGCAGAGCCTACGGGCGTCGTGACGGGCTGGGGCAGAGCCTACGGGCGTCGCGACGGGCTGGGGCAGAGCCTACGGGCGTCGCGACGGGCTGGGGCAGAGCCTACGGGCGTCGCGACGGGCTGGGGCAGAGCCTACGGGCGTCGCGACTGGCTGGGGCAGAGCCTACGGGCGTCGCGACGGGCTGGGGCAGAGCCTACGGGCGTCGGGACGGGCTGGGGCAGAGCCTACGGGCGTCGCGACGGGCTGGGGCAGAGCCTACGGGCGTCGCGACGGGCTGGGGCAGAGCCTACGGGCGTCGCGCGGGCTAGGGGCAGGGCGCGGGCTAGGCGCGGAGGGTGGAGTGGCGCGGTTTAGGCGCGGAGGCACAATGGGTGCGGAGGTGCGAGCTAAGCGCGGAGGGCGCGGAGGGCGCGAGCTAGGCACGGAGGGCGCGGAGGGTGAACACTAGGCTAGGAACGGGCTAGGAACGGTCCTGCTCGTGATACCATCTCAAGAGTGGTTAGCAACGGAATGGTTGGAATAGAAACGAATGGGGTACAAATAAGCAACCCTAGAAACTGTACCCCCTAGAGTGCAACTCACTACAGCCTATCATATCAATGTTCAACATTTGACACTTTTGTCGTCACTGTTGCAATTCGCAGCGACTGTATAGCCCAAGATGAAACATATCAAGCGGACCAGTCCGCTTCTGGTACACGGCTGGTCTGCCAAACGGGTCCGTCGGACCAAAACTCGGACCAGGCATGCACATTTTAGCGACGGACTGGGTCGAGGCGGACCAGGTCACATGAGACACCCTCTAAATCCATGCCTCCCTGTGTTTAGGACGCGTTACAATTGCAACACCGGATGAGGATCGGGACCACACACCAAAATCGTGAGCATCGATCGCCATAGCCAGATTTCAACCTGCGTGGACACGATCGTTCAGGAGGTTCCAATTTTGGCGGAGTTTATAACGTTTCTGAGCTTTGTAAACTCTTGAAGAGGGATTTCAGTGCGGTGTCGGCTCAATATTGGACAATCTTATTGTGACTTGAGTTTACGCTAAATCTAACGAAAAAGAGATACCCTACCATTAGCGAATTCGCGAAGCTACTGTAGACTTAGAAATCGATCCCTTGCAGGATCGATGTTTCAATTGTGAGTCGTGACGCGTCCTTAGGGTTGATGCCTCCCTGACCGGATGCATGCCCGAATGGGTTTTATTTTTTTTACCCGCGGGCAGCGAGCTTTCCCGGCGGAGTCGCTTGTCCGCTGAGATATATCAAACGGTTCGATTGCCATGAAAATTTCCGCGAAGATTTGCGAGTGAACAGAGTCCCCGCGCGAGAGGGGCCCTCCAGAATTGTTGACCGTTGAGTTGCGTGCGCGACTCGTTCGTCATGTCCATGCGGTTCACCGGTTCAGACCATTGCGCACCAAAATGAACCTCTTCAAAGTGAGTGTGAAATGAACGAAGGTGAGGTGACCTCCTCGAATGGGATGTCGTTTTTCCAGTGTTGGACAACGGGCCTGCCAGAACCCTTTCAACAGCCATCAACTGAATACTTGGCACCATAGTCGCGAGAAGTGCGCTCGCGTTCAAGTGACGAGTGCAAATGCATGATACATAGAAGTGCATAATTACCACTGGCGATCTGGGAGCGTAAGAAAAGTTAATCTCCATGGCAGCGCTGCAGCCTACTGGCGAAATGAGAGAGCGCGCCGAGCGACGGGAGGAGAAGAGACAGAAGAACAATGATGATCCAGAAGGCAAGGACCTCTATTGATTTGCGACGCCGACGCAACATCCCACTTTTTCACCTCATCTTCACAATTTGAACAAAAAGCACATAGTTTTCACCTCCCTGCTTTGATAACTTATCTAAAAAGCATTTGCCAGTTTGCGTGAACTCTCCTAGGCATTCCGTGTCAGAATGTCACTCATACTGAAAAAAGTCACAGAATGTAAGATCGTAGAGTAGAGCTTAGAGACTCGCAACTCGGCTTCGTCATTCTCATTCTTTGCATCATGGAGTCTTTTTAGCGTTGGTGAGGTGGGCATTAGGAGAGCTGCTCGAACGGAGAACTTTCCGAGCTTGAACGGAGGTGCTCGAACGGAGAACTCAGAGAAAACCGCTCGTTTTTAGGCGCATAAAAAACAAACTAAAAAACAGCTCCATTTCAAAAGCTTTTGAGACTGCTCTCGCCGTCCAGACGTGTTTTCAAGGCTTGAAATCACAGCCGCGAAGGAAACGAGCGACAAAAACAGCACCATTCCCTTTTGCTTTCTCCCATCAATCCCCGTCCCACCCATCTCATCCATCTCACCCATATCACCCATCTCACGCATCTCACGCATCTCTCCTTCCAGCCGCCACCCCCAGTGATCCCATAGACATGCTGCCGGCGTACCTCTGGCACAAAGCCTTCCTCTACCTGCTGCTGCCACCCGGCTCCTCCCACCCCATCAACCCCCTTCGTTTCTCACCCATCTCACCCATGCCACCCACATCAATCACCCGTTTCTCCTTCCAGCCGCCACCCCCAGTGATCCCATAGACATGCTGCCGGAGTATCTCTGGCACAAAGTTTTCCGCTACCTGCTGCTGCCGCCCGGATCCTCCCACCCCGAGACTCCCCTTGTCCGGGGCAGACAAATTACTCCCTGGTATCTCGCCGCCACAGAGCAGCCCACAGCGCGCAAAGACCTGCCCGTGAGATTTGCGGACCCTTATTTCACGCCAGCCGGGCAGCACTGGAAGAACACGAGGAGCTATGGCAGTGGGTGGGCGCTGCTGTGCTGCGCCATGGCCAGCAAGAGGCTCCTCTACCACGTGCTCTCCTTCTCTGTGAGTTGTGCTCTGCTCTGCGCTCTCTGCTCTGCGCTCTCTGCTCTGCACTTGCTCTCCTTGGCTTCGAAACCCGCATGCCTTTTTAAGTTCCACCATGCTTCGGATATGAGATTCTTAGAACAGGTGCTGATTGGTCATAAAGCGGATCCTACAACATCCGATTCGACAACTCCAATCCAACTCCATTCCTTCCCGTCCCTTACTCCCATTCCAGACGTATCACCTTCTCTCCTCCAATCCTCTCCGTCCCTCTTTGCTCCGCAGGCCCACCACCCCATCGTACTGATTACAACGAGGTGCACCCCACTAGTGGAGCAAGAGTGTTGCCTGCTTCCTGCGCTGGCGCCTGATCCCCTGGTGGATCAAAATTGTCGCACTATTTAAGTAATGCGTTCGATCTTAAATTCCTAGAGCGGGTTAGTCCTCAAACAACCTTCCGATGCCTCCATTATTTCGCCCTTGTCTCTCTCTACAGGCTGACCACCCCATCGCACTGGTATTCAACGAGCTACACCCGCAGTGGATCAAGAGCGTCGAATCCTTCCTTCGCCAACACCGCCTCAGGTCCCTCGCGCTCACCTTCACGGGCAAGGAGCAGCTCAGATACCGTGACTCGCCACTCAAGTTGAGTACGAAGAGGAGCAGGAGAAGGAATGATAAAAAACATAAGGAAATTGAGTACGACCATCACCTTGGACTGCCCGGCTCTGCAGCAGCTGAAGCTCGGCCGGGGCAAGTGGGGACTCGAGGAAGGCTGGGCTGAGCAGTTCAAGTCGCTGCGCAGCTTGACCCTCAAGCACATGGATTGGAGCTACGTGGATCTTGATTATCTCGCCAAGCTCACGCCGCAACTCACGGAATTCGTTCTCTATCAGAGCTGGAGTTTGGACCGCGAAACATTCACTTTCGACTTATCAAAAGCCCAAACCGTCCGCTTTTACTTCCCGCAGAGCACCCTCACGCTCTCCCTCACACTCTCTTCTTCGCTCACAACCTTCACGGCGATGGAAAACAGCTCGAGCTCTCGTGCAAGAGCACGGAACCTCTCGCTCTCCAACACCTCTCGCTGTACGGCCAGCAGCGGCTTGTCATCTCCTCCCTCCGCCTCGCTTCCGTGCGAGTTGCCTACCTCAACAGCCCTCCCAAAGACGTGCACCTACGCAATGACAAGTTCTCTTCCTACCTTGACTTTCCTGAATTGTCCCTTCAATTTTTACCTGAACTTTCGCCTGACAGGGAGAGCGTGCACAGCTCTGCTGCATTCTCCTGGGCTGAATGGCTGCGCACTATAGCGCCAACAGTGGAGGTGCTTATAGTGAGGCATGGGGTGCCTGTAGAGGGGGTTGATGCGGAGTGGAGCAGCTTGCGCAGCCTTGGAATTGTCGTGGAGAGAGAGGAGCTGTTTGAGGTGGATTTGAAGGTTGAGAAGCGACGGGATGATGGTAAGAAGGAGGTTACAGTGGAGGAGTTTCTGCCACAGCAGTGCAGCAGCAGCGGGAGCACTTGCAGCAGCAGATTTCAAAGCAGCAAGCTTTACAGCAGCGGCTTTTGCAGCAGCAGCAGTGGCTGCAGCAGCAGCAGCAGCAACCGCAGCAGCAGCAGCGGCAGCAGCAGCGGCAGAGGCAGCGGCCGCGGCAGCGGCAGCAGCAGCAGCGGCAGTTGCAGCCGCAGCAGCTTTTACAGCAGCAGCAACGTTTGCAGCAGCTGATTTTGCAGCAGCAAAGTTTGCAGCAGCAGCTTTTGCAGCAACAGCAGCAGCAGCAGCAGAAGGAGGGGGAGGAGGAGCAGGAGGGGCAGCAGCAAGAAGTAAGGCCTCCGTTTATCTTGGCTCCAAACTTGAGAGCAATCTTCTTCCCCACCAGCACATGCGAGGAGCAGACCCTTGCTTCCCTCCGCGAATTCTGTCCCTCTCTCGCTCTGTACTGCATATCACGCCGCTCGTTCTACTGGGAGAAGCAGAGGAGGCAGTTGCCAGAGACCCCTATGATTCAGGTGAGGAAGGCGAGAAGCGGGGTGCCATGCGCTTGCTTTGCGGAGAAGCGGCCGAAGAACGTGCGGGAGAAGATGCACAGTGTGAATAAGGAGCTGGTGGATGGGTACAGTGTTGATGAAGAAGAGGCTTATATGTGGAAGTACAAGGGGAGGCTGTGGAGCAGATACTGAGTGTGACACTTGAGTCGACTAAAAAATCACTCAAGTATAGTGTTGATGCCGATGAGGTTCATATGTGGAAGTACAAAGGGAGCCAGTGGAAGACCGAATACAGCTCGGACCGCCTCTAGCATTCGTAGTTGCAGACATGTCAACAGATGTATTTGATATGGTGAAGAAGGGTGTGGTGTAGAAGAAGAATGCATAATAACTAACGATGCGGGACTGCCGGATGCTGTCACCGCTCTCCGGTCTGTTGTGATAGCCGCGGGGAAGAAGGGGTATGTAATTGCAATGAGGCGGCGGATCACGCCTGAGAAGCTCGCGAACTTCCCCGACTGTGACGTGCAGGTGCTGGTGGCGTGTGCGGAGGGGGTAATCCTGGATGGCATGGGGCAGGGCAGCAGTGGTGGTGGGAGTGGTGGTAGCAGCGGTGGTAGCAGTGGTGGTAGCAGCGGTGGTAGCAGGGCGTTTTCGCTGCTTTCCCCCCCCTTTCACAAGGTATCGTCACTGTGAAAGGATCACGGGTAGGGGTTCCTGGCGCTGCGGCGTGACTATAAGGGGCTGCAGGTGCCCTAGTTCATGGCGCCTGGTGCCTGGTGAGACTCCTGCGGAAGGGCGAGCAGGGGGGGGTGAAGGAGAAGCAGGGGAGGGTAAGGTGCTGAGTACACAGGGAATGGCTAACGGGGGTGAGAGAGAGGGGGGGGGGGGGAGGGAGGAATGAGGGAGCAGTGAGTGCTTTCATGCCGAAAGTGGCTTCGGTGAGGGTGGTGGAGGGGAGGGAGGGCCGTGCTGCCGGGTATGTGGATGAACCGCAGCAGTGATAGGGAAGGTTGATTGGAGGGGCGGGTGTTGGAGCGTGTGACAGTGTGACAGTGTGACTATAATGGGATGAAGGTGGCTTGGATCTTGGTGCCTGGTGTGGTGCCTGGGGAAGGGCGAGCAGAGGGGGTGGAAGGGCAATCAGGGAGGAAGGGGGGATGGGATCGAGCACTCAGGGAATGGATTATGGGGATGAATGAGGGATGAAGATGGGTGGTGAAACAGTGGGTCTTTTCATGCCGAAAGTGGCTCTAACGCTGTGCGATTAAGGCGGTGAGGGTGGTGGAGGAGAGGGAGGGCCGTGCAGCAGGGTACGGTATGTCCAGTAGTGCTAGAACATTATGAGGAACCATTGGTTTCATCATTGCTAACTTGTTGGAATATATTATGCTTTTACTGTAGACACAATACTTTTTTTTCGCACTGTGAGGTACGTTACCATTGCCATCAAATGTTCAGCGAAGATTTTCGAGTGTATCTAGACGCTACGCAAAAGTGGGCCTTGCAGAGTTGTTGACCGTTGAGTTGTGTGGGCGACTCGTTCGTCATTGTTTTAAATGGTTCACCGTTTCACACCATTGCGCACCAGAATGAACCTCTTATAAGTGAATGTGAAACGAACGAAGGTGAGGTCACCTCTTCAAATGGGCATCTCGCATTTGTCAGTGCTGGACAATGGGCAAGAGCCGTTTGAACAGCCGCACACTGAAATGCTAGGCTAGGCACCAGAGTCCCGACAAGTGCGCTCGAGTTCAAGTGACGAGTGCAAATGCATAATTCTTGTATTGAATACATACGGTAGCATCTATTTAAAAGTGCATGATTACCACTGGCGAAGTGCGAGAGCGCGCACTATCATATTTTCCATGGCATCGCTGCAGCCTACCGGCGAACTGAGAGATCGCGCAGAGCGACGGGAGGAGAAGAGACAGAAGAACAATGCTGACCAAGAAGGCAAGAGTTGCTATTGCTCCGCGACGCAGCATCCCACTTTTTCACCTCATCTTCCCACTTTGAACGAAAAGCACATAGACTTCACCTCCCTGCTTTGATAACTTACCGGTATATAGAAAAATTCATTTGAGAGTTTGAGTGAACTGTCCAGGCATTCCGTGTCAGTTAGTTCCTCTCCCCGCCACCTCCTTCTATTCCCACCTTCTGTTATTTTCCCTCCTCCTTTTGCCTCCTCGCGAGATATACGCGCACTGTGAAACAACTACATGTGATTCCTGTCCCTGTTGCCAAACCACGTTTGATTCCTACCGTACACCACTTTTTCCGTCATTTCCTCTCTCTCCGCCTCTCTGTCACTCATACCGGAAAGAGTATCAGAAAATAGGATCGAGGGGTAGATAAACTCGCATCTCCAATAAGTCAATCTTATTATCTACTCCATGGAGTCTTTTTAGTGATGGTAAGGTGAGTGAACCCAACGATAAGTGCTCGAACGGAGCACTTCGCGTGCTTGAAAGGAGATAGTTAAACGGAGAACTCAGAAAAAAATGCTCATTCTTTACTCAAAATAGTTCCATTCCAAAGCCCTTCCCGAGTGCTTTCGCCGCACACACCCGTTTTGAATGCCTGAAATCACAGCCTCTACGAAAGAAAAACGACGAATAAAGTCAGCTTTTTTTCTTAGCGAATCTCTTCCATATCAGTCCCCTATTTCGTTCCTTCCCCCATCAATCCCCTTCCCAACCATATCACCCATCTCACGCATCTATCCTTCCAGCCGCCACCCCCGGTGATCCCATAGACATTCTGCCGGCGTACCTCTGGCAGAAAGTATTTCGCTACCTGCTGCTGCCACCCGGCTCCTCCTACCCTGAGACTCCCCTTGTCCGGGGCAGGCGAAAGTTTCCATGGGCAGTTTCCATGGACAAGAACCTGCCCGTGAGATTTGCGGACCCTGATTTTCAGCAGCCGGGCAGCACTGGAAGAACGCGAGGAGCTATGGCAGTGGATGGGCGCTGCTGTGCTGTGCCATGGCCAGCAAGAGGCTCCTCGCCCTCGTCCTCTCCTTCTCCGTGAGTTATGCTATACTTTGCTCTGCTCTCTTCTCTGCTCTGCTCCGCTCTACACTTGTTCTCCTTGGCTTCGAGACGCATACTTCCAAATTCCACCCCCCTTTTTTCGGATATGAGATTCTGAAAACAGGTCCTGATTGGTTGTAAGCGGATCCTAAAACAGCCTATCCGACAACCCCAATCCAATCCCATTACTTCACGTCCCTCACTCACATTCTCTGCTCCACCGATCCCATCCGTCCCTCTCTGCAGGCCCACCACCCCATCGACCTCGTTTACAACGAGCTGCACCCACAGTGGATCAAGAGCGTCGAATTCTTCCTTCGCCAGCGCCACCGCCTCAGGTCCCTCGCCCTCACCTTCACGGACAAGGAGCAGCTCGAAAACCTTTGCTCGCCACTCAACCAGCCCTTCACCTCCCTCACCACTCCTTAAACTGCCCAGGCCTGCAGCGGCTGAAGCTCGGCCGGGGCAAGTGGAGTCTCCAGGAAGGCTGGGCTGAGCGGTTCAAGTCGCTGCGCAGTTTGACTCTCAAACATATGGACTGGAGCTACGTGGATATGAAGTATTTAGGCGCGGTCACACCGCGGCTCACGGAATTCGTTCTCTATCATAGCTGGGATTTGGACCCCCGAACCTCAGGCCTGGGTGGTGGCGGCACATTCACTTTCGACTTATCGAAAGCTCAAACCGTCCGCTTTTATTTCCCGCATAGCAGCCTCACGCTCTCCCTCACACTCTCTCGCTCGCTCACGATTTTCTCAGCCATGGCGAAACAGCTCGTTCTCTCCTGCAATAGCAAGGAACCTCTCGCTCTCCACCACCTCTCGCTGTACGGCCAGCAGCGGCTTGTCATTTCCTCCTTCCGCCTCGCTTCCGTGCGAGTTGCCTACCTCAACGGCCCTCCCAAAGACCACCACTCTCGCAATGATGAATATTCTTCCTACCTGGACTCTCCTGCGTTGTCACCTGAACGTTCACCTGAAATTTCTACTGACAGGCAGAATGTGCATCGACGTAGCTCTGCTGCATTTTCCTGGGCTGAATGGCTGGCTTCTATAGCGCCAACAGTGGAGGTGCTTATAGTGAGGCATGGGGTGCCTGTAGAGGGGGTTGACGCGGAGTGGAGCAGCCTGCGCAGCCTTGGGATTGTCGTGGAGAGGGAGGAGCGGTTTGAGGTGGATTTGAAGGTTGAGAAGCGACGGGATGATGGTGAGAGGGAGGTTACAGTGGAGGAATTTCAGGAGTGCAACCAGAGGTTTCTGCAGCAGCAGCGGCAGCAGCAGCAGCAGCAGCAGCAGCAGCAGCGGCGGCGGCGGCAGGAGGAGGATGAAGAGCAGCAGGAGGGGCAGCAGCAAGAACGAAGACCTCCGTTTATCTTGGCTCCAAACTTGCAAGCGATCTTCTTCCCCACCCACGCATGCGAGCAGCATACCCTTGCTTCCCTTCGCAAATTCTGTCCCTCTCTCGCCCTGTACTGCATCTCACGTCGCTCGTTCTACTGGGAGAAGCAGCGGAGGCAGTTGCCAGAGACCCCTGTGGTGCATGTGAGGAAGGCGAGAAGCGGGGTGCCATGCGCCTGATTTGCGGAAAGGCGGCCGAAGAACGTGAGGGAGAAGATGCACAGTGTGAATAGGGAGCTGGTTGATGGGTACAGTATTGATGTGGATGAGGCTTACATGTGGAAATACAAAGTGAGCCAGTGGAGCAGATACTGAGGGGTGACTCTTGAGTTGACTTATAAAATCATTCCAGTGTTGTTCATGCCTAAAGAGGCTCCAGCGATTGATGCGGTGAGGGTGGTGGAGGGGTCCTTCATCATTATCTTGTACCGTATACTTCCCTGATGTTCAGCCATGTCACATCTTACGGTATTTCTTGGTTTGTGTTTGTATACAGGTCTCCTAACCATCTGGTTGTGGTGATGTTTTGACTGTTTGATAGTACTACGATGATTGGCCATGCCGTATATTGATGCTGGATGCTTTGTTATAATACAAACACTTTGCTCAGAAGCAGCCATGCACATGACCACTACAAAGGAAGTACTTGGCAACTGACTATCGTGACAAACAAGACAGCTAGAAATGTACGGTAATATTTTTGGGCCACTCTTGGCTGCTACACTGCATGCAATAAACCCTGGGCCATGGTGCTGGGACTGGGACATGTACCCTGCGCGGCTGGCAATGGGGGTGAGTGAAAAGGGGAACAGACTGAGCAGCGGAAAATAGAGTGAACAGGAAGAAACAAAGCGAGCCCGGGGGAAGAGAATGAGCAGGGGAAACAGAGTGAGCCGGGGGGGAGCGAATGAGCAGGGGAAACAGAGTGAGCCGGGGGGGAGCGAATGAGCAGGGGAAACAGAGTGAGCCGGGGGGGAGCGAATGAGCAGGGGAAACAGAGTGAGCCAGAGAGATCAAGGTGTGTGAGGGAGAGTGGTGAGGAGCTAACGTACCGTGTGGGGAAGGGAGTGGACGAGGTGTAACAGAAGGGCGTCAGGGACAGCATCAGTAGAGAGGTTGAGGTGAGTGAGGGAGGCGAGGAGGTGAGGAGGGAAGAGGGAGGAGGGAGGAGCGATTGAGGCACCAGAGATAACCAGATGAGTGAGGGGGAAGGAGGAAGAGGAGGAGGAGGAGTGAGAGGAGGAAGGAGAGGAGGCGAAGGGAGAGGATGAGGAGGAGGGGAGAGGGAAGCCAATGGAAAGGAGGGGGCACTGGGAGAGGTGGAGGGCGGTGAGGGAGGGGTGGGCGGGGAGGTGGGAGAAAAAGTCCATCCAGGCGAGGTTGGCGGAGAGCAGGCGGGGGAAGGCGAGGAGCAGCGAGGCAGAGGCGCTGGTGATGCTGCTGCCCCACACTGACAGATGGCGCAAGTGAACCAGCGACTGCAGGGGAAGGGGGGGAGGCGGGGGTGGAAAGAGGATGGTGGGAGTGGGGGAAAGGGGAGCAGCGGCGCAGAGGCGTTGGTGATGCTGCTGCCCCACACTGACAGATAGCGCAAGTGGACTAGCGATGGGCGGGGGAAGCGAGGGCAACGGGAGGGGGAAGCGAGGGCGACGGGAGGGGAAAGCGAGGGCGATGGGAGGGGGAAGCGAGGGCGATGGGAGGGGGAAGCGAGGGCGATGGGCGGGGCGAGGGGAGGTGGAAGCGAGGGCGACGGGAGGGGGAAGCAAGGGCGATGGGAGGGGGAAGCGAGGGCGATGGGAGGGGGAAGCGAGGGCGATGGGAGGGGGAAGCGAGGGCGATGGGAGGGGGAAGCGAGGGCGACGGATGGGGGAAGCCAGGGCGACGGGAGGGGGAAGCGAGGGCGATGGGAGGGGGAAGCGAGGGCGATGGGAGGGGGAAGCGAGGGCGATGGGAGGGGGAAGCGATGGCGATGGGAGGGGGAAGCGAGGGCAAAGGGAGGGGAGAGGAGGCCGCGCGGAGAGGCGAGAGGAGGCCGCGCGGAGAGGTGGGAGGAGGCCGCGCGGAGAGGCGAGAGGAGGCGCGGAGAGGTGGGAGGAGGCCGCGCGGAGAGGCGAGAGGAGGACGCGCGGCGAGGCGAGAGGAGGCCGCGCGGAGAGGCGAGAGGAGGACGCGCGGCGAGGCGAGAGGAGGACGCGCGGCGAGGCGAGAGGAGGCCGCGCGGAGAGGCGAGAGGAGGACGCGCGGCGAGGCGAGAGGGGGCCGCGCGGAGAGGCGAGAGGAGGCCGCGCGGGGAGGCGAGAGGAGGCCGCGCGGGGAGGCGAGAGGAGGCGAAAAGGGGATATCGGGCGGCAGAAATGGGAGATCGGGCCGCGGGAAGGGGAGCTCGGGCGGCGAGCACGGGAGATCGGTCGGCGAGCAGGGGAGATGGGGTGGCGGGGAAGCGGAGGTCGGGTGGCGGGAAGGTGACGGGTATAACCTAATCATAAGCATAGGCAAAGGGGAGCGCTACTGCTGCTCACCCCTGTTACGAGATTTCTTTTCTCTTTTGACGCCTTTGGATAGAAGATTGCTTACCTTTGGAGTGGTAATGCCTCTGCTACGTGTGAGGAGGTAGGGCGGGAGTGGCACTTGATTTTTCCCTATCACTTCACTCCCTTGCACAATCTGTGTCTCCGTCGTCAGTGTTGGTCGCACAAAGTGCAAACTTTCCAAACCTGTCCCGCAAGAGGTTCGGAAGTGACCCAAACCTGCCCCTGAGCTCTTGTGTTGACCTCAACACTTTGGAACTTCGCCCATATATTTCCCCCGCTCGTCAAAAAATTCGTCACTCGTAAACCAATCAGGATCTTACTTTCCCAACACCCGAATTACTCAACGGAAGTCAACGCGGGAAAAAAGGTTTGGGAAAGCAGAGATTTGAGGCTCGAAACCCTCCCCTAAACCTTTCTTTCCCGAAACCAGTAGGAGCGAGACACAAACTGGCGACAGTTTGTGAAGGCCTCTTTGTAATTCGGGGGCTGGGCTTTAAACACTAGTAAATATGATACGCGAGCTTTAAGACAAAGTGGGGACTTTTATTCATACCTGCTGGTCGAGAAAGGTCATTCACCTAGAATTGCGTAAGTGCAGTTGATCCACGTATAAGTGATACCGTATGTAGGTCTCACAGTGTTGTATCCAAGTATTTCAGCCTCTCCCTTGATCTTGTCACGTCTGCTCTGCTCCATCCCGATTCTGCTCGGCATCCCAGAACCTCGTCAACCGAGGCAAAAATGTTCCAAGCCTTCGCCATCGTTCTCAAACCCACTTCACCCCTCATTCTCAACTATTAGTTCACACGGCATGACTGCCCGCGATTCCAAATTTGGATTATTATGCCAGTCTAGGCAGCAATTTTGCATAGTAGCTGTGCAATCTAACACGCTGCGGCCTGGTCGTTTCGAAAGTTACCGCGATTCAACTACAGCCAGTGGCCCCCGGTGCAGCGGGGGGGAGAAAAACTCTCGTGTTCACGCGCTTGCCGTTTCTTGTAGAATCATTGTTTTGAGGCAACGCATTCGTCGCCGCCCACTGTCCATCTATTCCCCTGACTCTCTGCTTGCTCTCCTTCCGCCCGTGCCTGCTTGCGCGCGGCCCTCTCCCCTCCCCACTGACGCCATGGGCGGTCCGGACGGGCTAGGGCTCGGCGCGGAGGTCAACGGGGGCGCGGAGTCCGTCGCGGATCTCCTCGCGCTTCCCCCCGACGCCGTTCCGCGTAGCGACCTTTTCTTCCGCCTAGCGCGCGCGCATTTCCGCGCGGCTGTATCCGCCTCCGCGGGTGGGCCCGCCAACCCCGCGGACCCCGCAAGCTCCCCCGCGGGCGGCGCAAATGACGCCGCGGGAGGCGGGGATGTTAACGACAACAGTAGCGACGAGGCGCTCGCTTTAGACGTCGTCCGAAACGCGATTCAGCCTTCCGAGCGGCCCGACCACGTTCCGTCTCTTATTCTCGCGTCCGTGATTTGCGCGCGGCGTGACACGTGGAGCGACGAGGGCGTGCGCTACGGCGAGCGCGCCGTAGCGCTCGCTGCCAGCAGCGGCCCGCAGCGCGCCAAGGCGCTCCACGCGCTGGGAGTTAATCTCCTGCTACACTCGCGCAGCCTCGATATTTCCGCGGCTCGGCGTGAGCTGAGTCTAAAGCGCGCCGTCGAGTCGCTAACCCAGGCGTCAGAAGAAGATGCCACGTCAGCAGCTATAATGGTGGATCTCGCGCTCGCGTTGGCCGAGCAGCGCCACGTCAGCGAGGCACTGAAGGTTGCGAAGCGTGCGCTGAAAGCCGGCGGCGGACAGTGGCTGCTGACGTGGCAGCTGCTTGCGCTGCTGCTGACGTGTCAACAGCGATTCAAGGACGCGGAAGACATGTGCCGCGTGGGGGAAGCCGCCATGAAGAAAGCGGGGGGCGCAGGGGGAGGGGGAGCGGATGGGGGGGAGAAAGGGGAGGGCGCAAGGGCGGCGCTGCTGGTGCTGCACGCCAAGATGCACTTAGCGAGTGGGGAGCTCGGGGGAGAGGGGGGGGAAGGGGAAGGCGGAGGCGGGGCGGATGGGAGCGGCGGTGTGAGTGCAGGCGTTGGAGAGGCTGTGGAGAGCTTGAAGGCAGCCCTGGCTGCTGTACAGTCCCGGCAGAAGCGAGGCGACATGGTGAGAACAGGGTGGGAGGAAGGCGAGGGAGGGAGGGAGGGAGGGAGGGAGGGAGGGAGGGAGGGAGGGAGGGAGGGAGGGAGGGAGGGAGGGAGGGAGGGAGGGAGGGAGGGAGGGAGGGAGGGAGGGAGGGAGGGAGGGAGGGAGGGAGGGAGGGAGGGAGGGAGGGAGGGAGGGAGGGAGGGAGGGAGGGAGGGAGGGAGGGAGGGAGGGAGGGAGGGAGGGAGGGAGGGAGGGAGGGAGGGAGGGAGGGAGGGAGGGATAAGGGAAGAGGTTGGTGAGGCTGTGGAGAGATTGAAACAAGCCATGGCGGCTGTACAGTCACGGCAGAAGCGAGGCGACATGGTGAGCGCAGGGCGGGAGTGAGGGAGGGAAGGAGTGAGGGAGGAGGGGAGGGGTAAAGATAGTTAAGGCAGTAGTGCAGTGTAGGCTTTGGTGAGGCTGTGGAGAGCTCAAAGCAAGCCATGGCGGCTGGTGGGAGTGAGGGAGGAGGGGAGGGGTAGCGATGGTTGAGACAGTGGTGCAGTGTGGCAGTGGTGTGAGTCCAGGCGTTGGTGAGGCTGTGGAGAGCTTGAAGGCAGCCCTGGCTGCTGTTTAGGCACAGAAAAGACACAGCGACATGGTGAGAGCAGGGAGAGGGGGCAGGGTGGCGGGGAGGGAGGGAGGGGTAAACATAGATAGTTAACGCAGTGGTGCAGTGCGGCACAGTGACAGTGTGGTTAGTCGAGGCATACCCAGCTTCCAGACGGTTTGAAGCATGTGTTCTCGCATGGTTAGAAGTATGGCTTTAAACATACATTACTCCGACCTATTTCCTCTCTTTCGTTTTTTTTCTTTTCTTTTCTTTTCTTTTCTTTTAAATTTCTCTTCCACCCACACAGGGCGGCTCAGTGACGGAAGCAGTGGTGTGGCAGTGTCTGGCGGAGGCGTATCTGGCCGGCGGGCGGGCGGCAGATGCCGACCTCTGTGTGGCCAAGTGTCAGACGCTGGACCCGTACTCTGCTGACACGTGGATGGTGGCAGGTGAGTCATGAAGGCAAGTCATATGTTGCCAGTGTGGTCGGAACTTGGAACCCAGGTTTTTGTAATAGCAGCATGTGATAGAATAGTGGGTGGTTGGGAGTCCCAGAGCTGGTAGAATGTCCCTAATCTTGAAGCTCTAGCTTTTTTCCATCCCTATCTTCCACCGCCCTTTTCCCTCTAATCCACCTTTTCTCCCTTGAATATTCCCCCTCCCCCCCCCTTCCCCCACACTGTCCCCCTCCCCTCCCCCCTTCTTCCTCACACTCTCTTTCAACCTTCTTTTTACCTCTGGCCATGCGAGCAGAGGTTCAAGTACAGGCCCCAAGAGATCCCTACCAGGTGTTATTTCCCCGCTTACCCTCTTTCTCTTTCATCCCATCTCCCTCTCTCCTTCTCTCCCGTTTTCCCGCTCCTCCTTTCACTTTCAGTCCCCCAGGCAAGCTAGTAGACGCAAGAGGCCGACCCGAGGAGGAGCCCCTGCCTGTTTCTCAATACCCTGGCCATTAGCCCTCTTCTTAACCAGCTCCTATTTCCCTCCCTCCTCCGTCACACATCCTCACTCCCTCACTCCCCCAGGCATGGAAGAAGAAGGAAGAGGAATCAAGATGCCACCCCAGGAGACCCCTGCCTGTTACTGCATTGCACTGGCCACCAACTAATCTCCCTCCCACCCCTTCCTCCCCACTCTCACATCCTCTCTCTCTCTCATTCCTCCAGGCATGCTAGAAGAGGCGAGAGGCTGCCCCGAGGAGGCCCTTGCCTGCTACCGCAGCGCGCTGGCCATCGACCAATGGCACGCTGCCAGCAAGGCGCGACTGGGAGCCCTGCTGTTGCAGATGGGTGGGGAGTGGCTGCACATGGCGCAGGTGTACCTGAGGGAGGTGGTATCTGGTGATGGGTTTGATGCACGCGCGTGGCATGTGCTGGGATTGGTGGAGAGAGGGCGGGGGGATGTGGGTGCTGCTGCAGAGTGTTTCCGGCGAGCTATGGAGGCTGAGGAAACGGCTCCTGCTGTCCCATTCAATACGCTTAGACCGATCCTGCCGCAGATGCTGCTGTAGTATCGTACACTGGTGGAGCTGTTTGACTTGCTGTGAAGATGATGCAGTGATTGTTTAGCACCAACTTCTCCTTGCTTGGAAGTTGGGTGGAAAAGATCTTGTTTTTCTAATGTCTATACATATTTCGCAATATGCTTATGGTCTGATCCTACAGCTGATCGCCTATTGTTGGTCTAATATCATTTTGGACAGTCATCAGTGCTTCTCATCAGGCTGTTGTATCAGTGAATGCTTAGTCATTCTTTTAATGCAGTTTGATTGTTTTTTACAGAACGTGCATCAAATGCGAAGTGCTGTAACGTGTATTAGTTCTTAGAAATGCCGTTCACCCAGAAGCATCGATTGCGTCCAGGTTGTCACTTCCGCGGCTGCTTCTGGCGAATTAGGTAACGGAATCGCGCGATGATGGGAGCAGTGTGGCTGGGCATCGTCCACGTCAGACTCGAATCAGCCGACCAGCCAGAAACGTATCTGTATATATCTCAAGTTACCCAGGCTCCCTTGAATACCTCGTAGAAACAAACTGAAGCTCCATTCTGATTTTTTATGTACGTTGATAGCTATTCTCCAGAAACGAACCCAGCCTCTCCAGGTCATTCCCTGCATAATTCTCCCAAATAATCGTGCTATTCCAGCCGTGCCACAGCACACACGCTCTTGATAGGTTTTGGACATCCCTGCCACATGGGCGACCCTCGGAAAACTCGTGGCAGGCTACCTCCGATTTTCAAAGTCCAGCGCCCAGAATGTACCCTCACTCTGAAAGCAGCCTAAACAGGGTAAAGCGCCCTGCAGTCCTGAGCCGACACAGCGCGCCGATTTCTCCTTCGGATTCGTTCAGAGGGCTGCTGGACACGCGCAGGAGGTTGGACAGGCGAAGAAAAGCCCTTTGAGCTCTCCCAACCAATCAGGGCAAAGGTCGCGATATGCCATGAGCCAGCATGAATCCGCCGTAATCAGCTCCGTGAGTTACAAGGTTGAGAGTGCACCTTTGAAGTTCAATGCAGTACGGTTCAGTAAGGCCTGATAATGGAATACAGACGTTTCTATAGTTTCTAAAACGGTTGGGTTGGGTTATGAGGCATATCGGAATTCCCACTTCAACACAGCTCCGGTTGTTCCCATTCAGCCCAAGCTCTTTCTGACAGCCTAGTCGTTCCGTAATCATAGCAGGACGCCCTTGTATTGCATTTGTTCGAGCTGCTAGGATTGACGTTATCTTTCACCTCCCAATCTCCGCGCGCTAATTCAAACCGCTTTCTTCCCAGCTGATTTATCAACCACGAAGTTGTTGGACAACGGACGAACTGGTGGTTACTGGTGGTGGCACTCGCGCCGAACCCGCCGCGCACCACACTTCGATAAATCTGTCGACTTCAATCCCCGCTCCAGCCATGGCTCACCGAGTCGCATGCTGCAGCGGCCTAGCAACAACAGCTCCTGCTGGTGCCATGCTCCCGCCCGCCACGTCAGCACGCTCTCTGGATCTCCGCCGCTCTCTGCTATCCCCAACCTTCCCGAGTGCCATCGCTCCGCACATAGCCACCTCCTTCCCCGCTCGGCGCGCTTCAGTCTCCCCCCGCGCGCAAACCTCCGCCGATGCCGCCACGCGCACCACCGGCGCGCATGCGCCTTCGTCCTCCACGAATTCCCCAGAGTCCGCGGAAGCATCCGCGCGAGAAGCAGCTGCGCTAGAGGCCGCGGCGGCGCGCGTAATAACCCTCTCGAGCCGCGATGAATTCGATCGGCTGATGGCGGAGGCTAAGAACGCAGGGCGACTCGCCGTAGTCGAGACTACTATGTCTACCCTTCCAAATACCGACCGGATTTACAATACCCTCGTGGAAACTGCGCGGATGTTTCCTAACGCGGTGTTCCTGCGCATTTTCGCGGACAAAAGCGCGGAGCTGCGGGGGTTGGCGCAGAGCATGCAGTGCGCGCGCGTGCCGTCGTACGTGCTGTTCCGCGAGGGGCAGCGCGTGCACGAGGACGCGGGGATGGACGCGGAGCGGCTGCGCGCCGAGCTGCTGTATTACACCGCGGAAGGGCCCGTGCTGGAGGTGCACTCGGCGGAAGAGTTCCGCGCTCTGATTGAGGTAAGGGGGATGGGGGAAAGGGGAAAGGGCGGGAGGAGGTGGTGGGGGGGGAGGGTGTGGGGGTGGTGGAGAATGGGAAGGGGAATGGGGGAGGGGAACAGGGTAACGGGGAAAAGGAGATTCCACACGCTCGTAGGATAGTGGTTCTCCGCCTTTCCGCCCACTTCACCAGGTCTGTTCTGAATTGCCTGAGCACGCACAGAGCACCAGTTGTGAGTCCTCTCCTGTCTGGACAAGGTCCTCGCTTTCGATTATGGGACTCGTGAAAGCCGCTTGAGAATCATTGAGAGAAGAAGTATCTCCGAAGGTTACAGTCACATGGCAAGAGTTACAGTATCGGTAGTGATAATATCCAGTCCCGCAGTCTGTGGCTACCGCATGCACATCCACCCCAACATGTTCCTTCTCACCCGCCGCACCTATCTTTGAGTCGACTTAAAATCGGTGACGGTATCTGTACTAGTGATAAGATCCTTTCTGCAATTCTGTGGCAATGTTGTGCGTATCCACCCCACCATGTTCCATCTCCCCCACCTCGCCCCCTCACATAACCGCACAGACTCACCTTGTCGTGGTCGAAGCAAGGCTCACATTCTGCCCCCCGTGCGTGTGCACACGGGTAGCGTTGCCGTTTCTGCATCCACCAACCTTGCTCACTTTCTCCCCACCTCGCCCCTTCACACAACCCCACAGACTCACATGGACACGGACATGCTGGTGGTGATTGAAGCAACGCTCACCTTCTGCGGCCCCTGCGTGCACATCCACCAAACCGTGCTCAACCTCTCCCCACCTTGCTCTTTCCCTGCCTTATCCCCACCCCACAGACCCACAAGGGTAGTGAAATGCTAGTGGTCATCGAGGCAACGCTCACCTTCTGCGGCCCGTGCGTGCGCATCCACCAAACAGTGCTCAACCTCTCCCACCGCATGGCAGGCCATGCCGTCTTCGCCCGCTTCTTCGGCGACTCAGCGGACTGCACCAAGGATTTGATTCGCGAGCTGGGGGTGGTGGAGGCACCCACGTTTCTGTTCTACCGGCGGGGCGAGCTGCTGGGGCGCTATGTGGGGTCGGGCAGGGGGGATTTGGTGGGGGAGATTCTCAAGCACCAGGGGGTGGTGGTCAGCTGATAAGTGAACCTATTTTAATAAATAATTGCTGCAGTGGTGGCTCGGTACGTATTGTTCCGTGCCTTGCTCGTTTTTTTGGGGACTTGAGGCAAAGTGCACGCAGGATTTGATTCGCTAGTTGGAGGTGGTGGGGGCGCCCATGTTATTGTTCTACAGGCGGGGGGAGCTGCACCATAACTATTTTGTGGCCAGAGTATCGCAATGCAACAACTGAGAACAAGCTTGGCAAAAGTCTTAAACGCTGTTATTGGCGAGATTGCATCATTACCGTATGCTGAGACACAGTTAGGGGTACACTTTCCTCGTATTGTTGTAATATAGATTGTTGAACATTTATTCTCTTATATATGAACCCAGGTCGTAAGGGTTGATGGAAACGGGAAAACAGCATGAACTGTAGCGTTTACAAATACAAATGGTACAAACGAGTTCAAGTCCAAGAATATACCGAGGTTCCAGCGCGGTTAATAGGTGGTCCAAAGCGGTACCAGGGAAGACCGTTTGGTGTATGTCCACGTTGACGCTTTTCGAGGTACAGTGCGTTTCCGAACATTTGAGCAGGGTTCTGTGAGTTGAGTAGGGCAAAATCGATGAACACAGAGAACTTCGTGCTATTCATCCCACTTGCCAAATTCCCTAGGTTCGAAATTCAGCAACGAGCGTAGATTCTTCTGATTCTAGATTCTCCTGAGCCTAGATTTTTCCTGATACTCCGTACCTTACAGCTCGTGCTTCTGCTATGGCTCTTCCTTCGTAGCGCGCCACGTGGCTGCACGACGCGCTCCCGCAATGGCAAACGAGAGCGAGGGAGCGGCTCCCACAGAAACGGAGAGCACGGTCACCGTCATTGGTCCAGCTGGCAGGTCGTTATCTGACGCGAAGATCACGCACGTTATCTTCGACCTGGACGGCACGCTGATCGACACTGGTAGGACACACACCCTTGAGTTAGCCGAGCCGCTTTTCTGCTCGCATTTCCCCCCGTCGGTAGAACAATAACATGGGCGCCCCGAGTGGGGGCGCCCATGTTATTGATCGGTAGGCAAACACCACCATCGAGTCGCCCGACATTAAATTGGTCCATGAGACTATTAATCGCCACTGCTAGGGCAATTACCCTCGAGTTGCGCACGGACCCTATGTCTTGCTCGCATTCCTCCGCTTCGGTTCATCACGTGAGTCGACACAGGTACGTCCGACGCCTGTGAGCGTCTTCGACCGAACTTTGAGCGAGAAGGCAGTTCAGTTGAAGTCGAGGTTCATCACGTCAGTCGACACAGGTACGTCCGACGCCTTTGAACTTCGCCCGAACTGCCTTCTCGTCTCGCTCGCCTGAGCGTTGGAGCGCATCCGCTAAGAAGCGATAGGAATCCAAAGCGATCGGCGATAGGCGCAAGTTCTAGAGCACGTCGGCAGTCCTCTCTTTTTGGTGACTTCAGAGACGGTCTTTCAAGCCGTTTTTTTTGTCACCCTCTCCTCCCCGTCGACCCAGGTGATCTTCAGACATCATTCTTAGCGACCTGTAGCTGCGAAGCTAGGCTTAAAGCGACAGAGCAGTCAGCTCATGCTGAACTCGCTGTGCGGAACCAAGTGTTGGGTGAGATCTCAGAGCCGAACTAAAGTTGTGCTTTTTGGTCGACCTCTCCTCCCCCGTCGACCCAGGACTTGGCTTTTTCCCAAGTCTACGGGTTGCGCATTGAGATGTGATGGCTCAACTGATGGTGCCCATTACTCCTTGTCCCCCTTCCTTCCTCACATCCTCTTAACGCCAAACTTTTCAGAGAGTGTGGTGACGGAGGAGCTGCCACGGATATTGTTGGAGCGGTACGGCAAGGCTTAAATGCGGCTAGGGCGCAGAGCAGCACACTGAATGGCTCAAGTGATTGTGCCCGTGCTGCTCTCTGTCTCCCCCCTCTCACCCTTTTCTTCCAGAGAGTGCGGTGACGGAGGTGGCAAGGTTACTGGTGGAGCGGTATGGCAAGACATGGACGGGCGAGGGCGCAGAGTGGCGCATTGGCAAGCACTTGTCCATGTCTCAATTGATTCTGCTCGTTTTCCCTTGTTCTCCTTCCTCCCTCTCACCCTCCTCGCTCCCAGAGAGTGCGGTGACGGAGGTGGCAAGGATACTGGTGGAGCGCTATGGCAAGACATGGACGGGCGAGGGAGCAGAGGATCGTATCGGCAAGCGGCCGATCGACGGTGCTCGTGCAACGGTGCAGCGATACGGGCTGCCGTGTACCCCGGAGGAGCTGTTAGAGCAGAGCCACGTGCTGGTGGAGGAGAGGTGAGTCGGGGGGGTTGTTGGGATGCACATAGGGAAGGGAGCGTATTGGCAAGCGACCGATTGATGGCGCTCGTGCCACGGTGCAGCGATATGGGCTGCCTTGTACCCCGGAGGAGCTGTTAGAACAGAGCCACGTGCTGGTGGAAGAGAGGTGAGTCGGGGGGGTTGTTGGGATGCACATAGGGAAGGGAGCGTATTGGCAAGCGGCCGATTGACGGCGCTCATGCCACGGGGCGGCGATACGGGCTGCCTTGTACCCTGGAGGAGCTGTTAGAACAGAGCCACGTGCTGGTGGAAGAGAGGTGAGATGTGTGGGCGTGGGGCACGAGGAACGGGTAGGTGCCATGGGAGAGGGGGTGGGTGGGATGAGAGGGACATGGGTCGTGCCGGTGTATGGTGCGTGCGTGGGTGCATGGGGAATGGGAAATGCTTGGGGTACATTCTCACCTCACATAGATGCATGGCGCTAACAACAGCAACCATCACTCATACATTCCCATGTCATTCTGTCATTACATGCTCATCTGTCCATCCACGTCCATCCATGTCCATCCATGTGACTTGTTCATTCACCCCGCACATGCAGGTGGAGCCAAGCCAAGCCCCTCCCAGGCGCCCACCGCCTAATGCTGCATCTCCAGTCGTGCGGCATCCCCATGGCCGTTGCGTCCAGCTCCCCCCGGCGCAACGTCAACATCAAGCTCTCATTCCATGCAGGTCAGTTGCACGTTCTGAGGGAAGTTCCAAGTAGTCTTTAGGTATGTTCGAGGGTGCAGCCTGCTGCTGCACCTCCCTCCAGGCATGCAGCATCACCATGGCATGGCCGTGGCCTCCAGCTCCCTCCGGCGCAACGTCAACATCAAGCTCTCTTTTCATACAGGTCAGGTGCATGTTCTTAGGTACGTTTCAGGTGAACTCTGGCCAAGTTTCAGGTTGCAGCCTGCAGCCGCTGCTGATGCTGCTGCTGCTGCTGCTGCTGCTGCTGCTGCTGCCGCCGCCGCCGCCGCCGCCGCCGCCGCCGCCGCCGCCGCCGCCGCCGCCGCCGCCGCCGCCGCCGCCGCCGCCGCTGCTGCTGCTGCTGCTGCTGCTCCCGCAGCACCTGCAGGCGTGTGGCATTCCCATGGCAGTTGCCTCTAGCTCGCCGTGACGCAACGTGAACATCAAGCTCTTTTCCATGCCGGTCGGGTGCACGTTTCCAGAAAGGAACGGTCCAGGTAAGTTCTAGGCTGCTGCCTGCTGCAGAAGCAGCTCCCTCCAGGCTTCACATTAACGGAAAGCTCTCCCCTTACTTGCCGGCAGCTGGAAGCTTCCATGCCACAAGTCTCTCCTCACATGTATCTGTGCCTCTCTGACCCCCGTTATAATGGTTCAGGATGGACGGAGATGCTGCAAGTGCTGGTGGGAGGGGATGAGATGGAGCATGGCAAACCACGCCCTGACATGTAAGTGGTTTGTGTGTGACGTGATGCTCACCAGTCTTCTCACCAGTCTTCCCACCAGTCTTCTCACCAGTCTTCCCACCAGTCTTCTCACCAGTCTTCTCACCAGTCTTCCCACCAGTCTTCTCACCAGTCTTCTCACCACTCTTCTCACCAGTCTTCCCACCAGTCTTCTCACCAGTCTTCCCACCAGTCTTCTCACCAGTCTTCTCACCAGTCTTCCCACCAGTCTTCTCACCAGTCTTCTCACCAGTTTTCGATGCGACTTGCGAGGCACCTCTCATAGCCGCCTATCTGGTTTGGTGTGTGACGTTCACACCAGTCTCCACACGGGCCAGATGGAATGGAATCCCTCCCTTGAACGTTCACAACATTGCAGCTGCTTCACCACCACCACATTGCTTGGTGAATGAGCCCCCTGCATTGGTAATGCGCTTTATCTCCGTGCGGTTGAGCCTTCTTCCCGTCCACACCACCTCTCCTTTCCCTTCTTCTCCTTCTCGTCCCTCTTCCTCCCAGAGGCCGCTCGCCACTGAATGCCCATTCAGCTGTTTATTGCAGCTGGGAAAAGAGAATCATGGCCATATGATTCGGGCCCCTCGCTGCAGCCAACCATTTGCTTGGTTTCCCCATCCTTCCCATGACCATGCTCATCACCATGCTTATCACCATGCTCATCACCATGCTTATCACCACGTTTATCATCAAAAATATTTCTCCCTGTTATCGCCCCTCGTTGTGGGCAGATTCCTTCGTGCAGCTGAGCTGATGGGCGCTTCTCCCACACACTGCCTCGTTGTGGAAGATGCCCCGTGAATAGGCTACCTTCCCCCTCTTACCCCTCTTAGATGCGTCATTGCAGTGCTTGCATCCCTTCCCTCACTCACCTTTCTGCCAAGTAAGGCATGTTGGGGGTTTTCTGGGTTAAGGTTTCGGGTTTTGGGTTCAGCTCTCTTCCATCTCTTCCCTATCCTTCCCGTCCCTGGTTCCCACCAGAGCAGGGGTTGAAGCAGCTGTGGCAGCTGGCATGTGGGTGCTCGCAGTGCCTTCCCTGCCGAATAAGGCCGCCCGGCCACTCTACTCTGCCGCCCACCAGCTGATGCCATCCCTGTTGGACTTCCAGCCGCAGCACTGGGGCCTCCCCCCCTTCTCCGATTGTAAGCTTCCACCCTTTCCCCCCTTTTCCGTCTCCCAACACTCTCCCAACACTCTGCCTCCACTGCTCTGCCTCCACTGCTCTGCCTCCACTGCTCTGCCTCCACTGCTCTGCCTGCACT